TGGTAAGAATTTGCTGCAGTGTGGGCAGTCCTGCCATCACCCTCTGTTTCTGTGATTGGTCCCCTAAACTCCCTATTTGTTGAACCTTCCTGTCAGTCCCATGCTCCTCCCTAGTTCTAACACCTTCTCCCCCCAAACCTATATAAGTGAGAGTGTCCCCTCAATAAAGGGACAGCATTACTGCCTTCGACTGAGCATGAACCCCTGTGTGCTGTTGTCTCCTTTCCTCGCCCCGGGCTGAGACAGGGCTGCCCAAAACACCAGAATGAAAACCTTAGCCCAGGCTCCCTGCAGGATAAACATCACCCCACAGAACACAGAGAGCAAGAGTGGTAATGTGGGAGGAGCACATGAGAACATCATAGCAAAGAGCAAAGAAGGGTTGAAATGAAACACTTTGCAACCATTTCCCACTGGCAAAAGCCCAGGTCTTTGTTCATTTTATTTTGGTACTGAGAAGGGAAATCAAAGGGAAGTTTTCCAGTCCCTTACTGATAATGCTCAGGAATGCAGTTTTCCGCATGACAAAAAAACTGGCTTGAAAGGAAGTGAAGGTTTAAGAGTGCTTTCAAACTTTGCAAGGGTTCTGGTTTTTCTCTTTTCCTGACACTGTCTTCCTAAGGCCTGCCCACCCCCTGATCTCTTTGGTCTCTGCCTCGTAACTCGTCCTTTGAATGGCACTTGCCTATTTGGGGCCACTGCTTTCCTCCTACCACAGCCTTCTAAGTCGTCCCACATTGGGGTTTAACTTGCTTTTCCTTCTCTCTGTGTCTATTCTAGTCAGTTCTCTGTGCCTCCCAGATGTGCCCAGGGAAGTTCCTGGAGTTGAGTCACAGGCCCCAAAGGGCTTCTTTGCCATGCCAGAGTTCTGCAGCAGCAGGGTGACAGAGGTTACTTGGCTTTCCCCACGAAGGCATCCTTCTCCCTTCATCCAGCCCTACAAGTCACTGGTCAGTGTTTGCCGTGCAGTAAATGGGGAAAATGACAGGCAAATGTAGGGAGCCATCCTGGCACACTGAAGCCAAATTTCTTCAACAGTTTCAGTGGAGAGATGGAGCTTTAAGCGATTACATCAGTCTTCCATTGCCACTCACAGCCATACATCCAGGAATTCATCCACCTCTCAGCCTGCTCTCCAAGCCCCTGGTTTCTCTCTCTTTACAGCAGAGAACCTACAAGAGCTCCACAGAGACCTCCTTAGCAGCTGTGCTACCCCTCAGTGTAAGGACTGTGAGAGCTGAAAGGCAGATCCTTTGCCCTGCGGTCTTCCCTGGCCTGCTGAAAGCCAATTGTATTGGAGTGGGGGTTCCCTTTCAATCAGACAGCAGTGATCATTTCAGCAACATGTGTTTGAGTTCCTAAGTGTAAAAAGTCCACTGTGAAGCTCCTGAATCACACTGTGTTGTCCAGCAATAGAGAACAGTCTTGTCACGTCCATGCAAGTTTGTGGGCCACGAGGGGGTTTGGTGCTGCTTTGGGACAGAGCAGAACTCTGCAGGCTCATCTTTTGCGTTTGCTGTAGGGAAGGTTGGGTTGCTCTGCATAAATTCCCAAACCCACCTGCAGCGCTGCCATTGTGATGTCAGGGCATGTTGCCACGTCACAGTGCTGTCAAGGCAAGGTTACCCTGGGGCCTGGGAGGCCTCCGTGTCCAGAGCAGCTCTTGGGCGGGCTCAGTGCAGGAGGATCCTCCTGGTCGAGGCGTCTCAGCCAACACTTTGCACCCTGACGGGGGCGTTCTTTTGTTTTTCTCTCGGTGTTGTACGGTCCGAGGACTTGTGCAGCACTGCTCAGACAATGGAGCCATTCTGTGGAGCAGTTTGCACTGCTTTTTCTTTGGCCTATTCCGGCTACTTTTTGACTCACCTGACAAGTAAGTCGAGGCTTTTCCGAGGTGCAGCATCTTGAAACAAAACTGCCACAAAGATAGCAGGAGTTAGGGAAA